AAGAACAGAAACTAAACTTTGATCTTAGCCAAAAGGCCGAGAAGCGATACCAAGTGGTGTCGACAGTGGCGGCAGCTCAGTCAGTGAGTCGGACTCCTCGCGGGTCAGCTAGCGCTCATTATCTCGCTACGGGAGCACTGGGGCAGGTGAGCACCTAGACTGACGGCGAGAATAATCGGGTTATGCTACATTCCTTTCTTTCAGGAATCACTTGTCTATCTGACCATTTAAAGGTGCGAATCCAAGAACTGTTGAGATGAATACTGTCTGAAGAAAGGTAAAATTCTAAGCTAAAAAATCTCCAGTCGTCTTCACAAGGTTCGCAGAAGGTAACAGGTTTACTGAAAGTCTGTAATTCTCAGTTTTACTCCTTTCTACTTTGGAGGCTGCATGTTCTGGCATGGTTGAGGTTTTGTATGAGTGTATGTACCCTATAAGGGATTTTTTGTCAGAATTTGGCAGCAGGGCAACAACGATCTTTGCTGTCATGTCATCGCAAATGAATTATAATACATGTGAAGCTGCCAAATATTCTGCTACTCCTACACTTCTTCGAAAATTTCGCAATTCTCCCCTTTCGCGATGTTTGCATAATATTCTGTACTCAGTTTGACCCAAGCGACTACAATGAGCATCTGCGTAATGGCTTTATGGTTTTTGGAAGTGCGATCTATTGGGGCAAGCGGAGAAATTTAAGTGATAGTAAACAATACAGCTTTTTGCAAAGGTATATTGTTTATAAGCATATGGATGCGGCTACAACCGCGTTTGTTTTCCGGGCAGGGCCCGGCACGCGTTGGTTTGGAGCTTTTTTGAAAACGAAGTCCCCCATGACTTTTCGAAAATTTACAAAGTCCCTCTCGACGTAAAAATCAATAGGGAAATCCTTATTCAACCAAAATAATAAAAAAGCGAAAAAAGCGCATTTTGAGTTATATAGTATAACAAAAAAGCAAAAAGAATACATTTCGAGTAGATTAAAGGCTCTGCCATTGGGTATAGCACCATTTTAGCGCTCGGAAATCGAAAACCGCCTAGGCCAACCAAATCTGTGGCCTCAACAACCCGGCGATGCATTTTTCGCCACATAGTTCAAAGGACACCGCATGTGATTGGAGCGCGATATCTATCAACGCGCAGAACTGCACTACTTTTGACTCAAAAGAAGAGAGGAGAGGCAATGGTTTGATTCGATCTCTTCACTATATAATAGATTTTTGAGCGTTTTAATCGTCCAAATCAAAAAGGCCCAAAACTTATGTGAACTCTCCGAAATTTATGCTCCGAACCAACCCAGTTGGTTCGGTGGTTGGTCTAGAAACCAACAAATCCGGAACGGGTATTCAGACACATAAGTTTTGGGAACTTTTTACATAGCATAGTTTGGAATAATATTGTATACTCATAGCCCAAATTCGGAGCCATGTGATTGTTTGTGCGCTGTAAACAAGCCATTTGTTTGTTTGAGTCTTGCATTTGAAATTCGCGCGCTTGCGAAAGAACACATTCAACTCGTGAAACCTGACATGTTCGTCGTGTTTTTTTTTTGGCGCTTCCTCTAGGACCTCATAAAAACGATGTCCCCGTTGCTTCTAACTCCAAAAACGAAGTCCAATTTGACCCCAAACCATCGGTGCCGGGCCCTGTTTCCGGGTTCATTTATTTTGACAGGAACAAACAAGTCCTCTGAATTCTATTTGAACTGCCATGCCAGTAGCATGTCAGCGTACACACTCACTCTCAAACAACAGAACGTAACCGCAACTTTCGCAGCGCCGCCGGGTCACCTGCGGATTTCCCGCGAAAGTGCTGCGGAACCCCTGCAATGAAGTGCTGCGGAAATGCTGGAAAGATACATAGTACTGCAAGTATTATCGAAGACATTCAACATTTAACTTTGTAGAAGTGCTCCGTCCTTGTAATTACTCTAGAGATTTTCAATCAGCCTCGTATAACACTATTGTAATGTAATAACGATTGTGTTGCTGGGAAACCCATATACAACTATCTATCAGGTTGTCCCATAAGTTCAGTCCGTTTTGAATTTCGATCGCAATAAGTCATACACTCTTCATTTCTAGATAAGTTGCAAGGTATCATTCGATAGATCAAAGCAAGCTCTACAAGATGGCTGTTTTGCTTTTGTACTAGCTTTGTTACATCTCGAGTTCCAACGCGAAAACTAAAAAGATCTAAATGCCTGAAAAATCGATAAAAATTCGTAACTCCGTTCAAAAAAATCCTACAAAAATTCTAACTTGCTCATGTAAACTCTATCCATCTAAGACATTTATTTACGCCGGTGCCGTATTTTTTGCTTGGCTAGAAGTCACGAAAACGAAAATCTTCATGTTTTTACCAAAGTGATGCTGTGCTGTCTCTAAGTAGATAGTTGTGTACTATTAGCCTGCGGAAGTATAAACATAAATTTTCAGCTCTCTACAAGCAGTAGTTTTCGAGAAATATTGAATATAGCTTGCCTTACTTGAATGCCTTACGCTAAAATCCATATTTCTCGAAAACTACTGCTTGTAGAGAGCTGAAAATTTATGTTTACACTTCCGCAGGCTAATAGTACACAACTATCTACTAAGGGGCAGCACAGCATCACTTTGGTAAAAACATGAAAATTTTCGTTTTCGTGACTTCTAGCCGAGGAAAGAATACAGCACCGGCGTAAATAAATGTCTTAGATGGATAGTGTTTACATGAGCAAATTAGAATTTTTGTAGGATTTTTTTAAACGGAGTTACGAATAATTATCGATTTTTCGGGTAGTTGAATCTTTTTGGTTTTCGCTTTGGAACTCGAGATGTAACAAAGCTAGTGCAAAAGCAAAACAGCCGTCTTGTAGAGCTTGCTTTGCTCTGTCGAACGGTACCTTGTATTCTGTATAGAAATGAAAAGTGCATGACTTATTGCGGTCGAAATTCAAAACGGACGGAACTTATGGGACAACCTGATATTTTCTGCTTCTATACATTTTTACTCTTTCAAATAGGTTATTGTGTGTTTCTTTTTTGGCGCCTCAAAGGTTCTGCCGTGTTCATATGGTGATACTGAAAAAGAAAGTTTATATAATACCTTTGACTTTCAAATGAAGATCCTCGGATGTTTTTGACCTGCAGTGCCAATACTAGTGCTAAGAGCATTTGCGACACTTTTCCTCTTTATTGCAATTTCTGCTTTTAGTACTTTGACGTTTCCCGAACATGTTGCTATTTTTTTGGAAGGGGGGGGGGTTCAATAGAATAATGCCATAACTTGTATATGATTCGAGTGCCTTTTTACGATCGTTTTCTTCAGTTATCGCCTACCTTACACTCAGCTCGCATAGACATTTATGATCGGTGTCAGGGTTCCAACGTTGTTAAGTTCGCTAATCTAACTGCAGTTGTGAAATGAGGTTTTGCACATGGTGAGAGGGATGACTGCAGTAATTAGAATTCATTATTACCTTCGCCAATCAAGCATTCCATCTTTCCTTGCTAAAAACGCTTACGGGCTCGAAGTGATTTAGCAAGCGACGAGTTGCTCGTGTGCGGCTCTATTAAAGCAGCCACTTATCATCGAAGTGTTGAGATAAAGGCAAACTATTGATTTATCGACATTACGCCGCAGATCCCGGAAATAACTGACACCACGATGGGAGGACAAAGTGACTGATAACCATGGCCTGACAAAAGCCTTTCAAAATATTTGTATCGAGACCTTCTCACATGCTATGTAAATACTTCGGGTGCATGAGGGATCTAAGATTTTATAGCAGTTCTCTTTTTCATCCTCTATGTTTAATAACGACTTTAGTATATAAATGTAGATGTAAGAATTCAGTTACATGCGGTGTCCTACAAGGGCGATTTCAAAGACATAGAGTACAGTAATAGAGACCAGATCAAGCCTTTTATGGAAACATCTTATGGTCGTCAACCAGTGTTAACTTGGTTTTTTGAGTTCTGCTGTATGTCTGATACACCCTTTACTTCGTACTGATTTTGCCAAGTAATGCGTTCTGTGCCCAAGTATTGTTAATTTAGATGCACTTAGATCAGCACAAGAGTACTTAGACAAGAGGAAAATATGGAATGAATATAGTGATACATAAACTAAACTGAATTTTTTTGAAAGATTTGCTTGGTCACGACTTCTTTATATTCGGTCTGTTTTCACTCCAGTGCAACAAAAAGTTTTATAACGAGGAAAGTCGCTGATGCAAACGCTGATTGAAGTCAGGCCACAAAGATCAATGAGTAAAAAATGAAACTTAGGGTTGACATCGGCCTGAGACCTCTCGCGACTGTCTTTCTATAGGGCATGCTTTCAGTTCATGCTTATCATCAGTGGCGGGACGAGGATGGGTGAAGGGAAGGGTGGGGAGGTCCGCCTGAGAACGGGCCGCGTTCTGAAAGTTACCTACATGAAATATGTAAATGCAAGTGGCTTGTTTACTTGCAAATAACTGGGATAATTTTTTGAGTTTTCAAAAAGTTTAACTTTTGTAAAAAAATTCTTCCGATGCTCTCGGTGCCGCCTATGGGCTCGCAAAAATTTTGAGAAGCATCTCAAGCTCCGCACGCATCTTTGTCCAAAAAATTTTTTGTCGCTCCTCTGCCGTTAAACGAAATCCCGGAACTTGCGACTAGATTCAGCTTTTTACTCCAGTATGGCTATAAGTTCGACCACGCCTATTGATAAGAACTCATTTTGAGCTGAGGTAATATATTTGAGCAGTTATAAAGAATTATGACGCAGGTTCAGCAGAGCAATAGCAATACCAGTAGCACAACAGCGCGTTCTTTCACTGTGTTGTAATGCCAGCACCCAATTCTATATTTTTTACATAAGGTTCCTCCTTCTAATGCGGTTAGAGCGGCATTCGCAGACCCATATCTCTGCCATTGTCCTCTTCCCTCAAATTCCTCATACCACACAGCACTTTCACATTGAATGACTATGCGTTTGAAAAGTCATGCTCACAGATTTCAAATATTTGAATTTTCAGGTTTCCAACCATGTCCGAGAACGAAGTGTAAGTGGTCCTGTCTATTGATACAGATTTGAATCTAGCCACAGTCATTTGCTTTCATAATACTTGAATGTGTGTTTGAGCGAGGCGGAAGAAGAGATTGAGGAGGAAGAAGGTGAAGAAGACGCCGAGGAAGATGGACATCCAGCCGAAGACGAAACGTGGGTAGTCCACCATTCGTTGTGTGTTCTTTTCTCATTAGTATTTTTAGGCCAAGAACCCGACCTACGCAAGAAGAGGAGAAAGCTCCTGCAGAAAGAACGGAAGCGGAACGTGCCATGCTTGTGAGTACACAGGAAGAACGAGGAGCGGTTAATTTTGAATTGTTATAGGCTGCCAAAGAACGTCATGACAAAGAAGAAGCAGTAAGAATGCAAGAATATGAAGAGAAACGTCGAGCTGAAAGAGAGAGAATAGATGAGGAACTGCGTGAATTGAAAGAAAAGCAAGAAAAGAGACGTCTTGAGCGTGAGGAGGATGAAAGGCAATATGCCGAACGCCGTCGTCAAGACGAGGAACGCATGAGAAAAGAGGAGGTATGATTTTTGTCCCATACTAGCCGCGTTTTTGTTTATTTGGGAGAAAGTTCCGTTTGGTCTTGAAAGTTCATCGACGTCACATCCGAGAATTCACTCTCATTTTTCATTTTCCGTTTGCTTTCTAACAATCCTGACCGGAAAGTGTCCATAAAGCATCAATTCAAATTGCACTTGGGAACGAGTGGCGTAGTGGCATGAGGCGCCGCTTTGACCTGGTTGAACCTAGTTCGATCCCGCCCTAAACTAACCAAGCATTCCACTCTCTGGGTAAATAGTACCAGCGTGATCTGGGAGGAAAAAATCACTAACTTGATAATCAGCTGGCCCCCGCAAGTCACTGTAAGCTTCTTGTACAAATTCATCAGCCTTTACGGCTATGAAGAAGAATTTGTTCTACCATATCCTAATCCTATAGGGTTACCAGATAATGAGTTTGGGTACAGGAAGAGCGGAAAGCTCGAATTGACGCGGAAAGAAGTCGTAAAAGTATGGAGCGGGTTCGTCGTCAGCAAATGATGGCAGGGTCTTTTGATGCGCATCATGGGCAGTCGGGTAAGAAAAACTATACAGTTACGAAAAGCGATCAAGCCGCCCAATTTGGAAATCTCACTCAGGTGAAAAAATACATCACCTTCTGTAGAAATTCGAAAGAACTATTATTTTAAGGGTAAAAGCGAGGAGCGTGTAAGTAAGGAGCAACAGGAGGAGACGAAACGTGCGTTCTTGGCGGCTGTATGCCGTCCTTTTGATGTCTCCCATCTTCTCCCAAAAGATTTGAAAGAGCGAATCAAAAGTCTCCATGCTCGCATCGTCAAATTGGAAAGTGAAAAGTACGATTTAGAGAAACGTCTTGAGAGGCAGCAGTACGATGTAAGCACAAGTTTTTGCTCTCCTCCGCTAATTTCACTTCGGTTCTTGCGAGAAAAGAAGTTTCTTGCAGATAAGGGAGCTTCATGAACGACAGCTACAGGTTGCGCGAAATAAAGCCATACAGAGAGGTCTTGACCCTGACGAAGCCGTCTCATCTAAACATCCACCAAAAATTACCACCGCCTCAAAATTTGATCGTCAAACGGATAGAAGGTGGGAGAGATAAGCTCAAATACATTAATATATCTGACATTTTGCAGATCTTATGGTGATCGTCGTCACATGTTTGAACACCCGGTTGTGCAAAAACCTTTCACGCTTGCTCGTGGAACAGCTCGTCCTCCAAGCGAATGGGGCCGTAAGGAGAATGAAGAACTCGAAGCACTTCGGTAAAATATGACATTGCAATTCAAATAGAATTCTCTCCTTCCTTTACAGCAGAAATCTTGAACCACCCAAGTACGTGGAGCTAGCCCCCGTCGAAGGTAATCTCGCAAAACCACCGGTCGCTCCAAGACCTCTGGTGCTTCCGGAACAGGACTTTGTCGAAGAAGCAACGCAACCCAGTGACTCAATTGAGCAAGCACAGGTAAAATTTGCTCGAAGGCACGGCACTATCTCACGTCTTCATGCTTTTGGACTATATAAATATATCACAGGAGTCTACCGCAGAAGAAGTGCCGCCGGAAGCAGCAACCTCAGCAACGAAGGAAGCAGGAGCTCCAGCAAAGCAAGTTGCTGCTTAGGATATCAAACGCTCAGGAGCGTCATTTTTTGCTTACAATAGTGATTGAAAGACGAGTTTTGTGCATATGTGCTTGCCTCCTTGTTCACATGAAGAGTTAAGTTTCTCAATGTTTGTGTGACCTGTAAATCACGATATAGGCAGCATTTTGCGAAATCATTGTCAATGTTTTGCTTTTTGCCGTTTTCGAAGACTTAAATAAAAATTACAGCCAAACTCAAAGGCTGCACTCACTAACCTTGTCAGAGGTCTCGTCACTAGTTTTGGGTATTCATAAAAAAACAAAAAGTAATAGAGAATTTCAACCTACACCTCATTTCAGCACACTCATGACTAGTTTCGGATATTTATGAAAAACAAAGAAAATAGTAGAAAATTTCATTGAACACCTCGCTTCAGCACAATCAAAGCTTCAAAAAAGCATATGCCAAACGGGTATTCTAGGAACAGTATTTTTTATGCTTACAAGGGAAGTGTGTTTAGTCGAAGTGGCCTTTCAAGATGAGACCCATACTGCTTTGAAGAGCATTAAACGGTGATTTCAAATCTGCCTTCTGCGCCTCTGGTAACAACGTTCATCTTTTTACCACTGCACTGGCAGCACTAATAACATCAAAAACGGTAGCACGGTTAACAGTGGTAATGTAAGGTCGGTTCATTTGCGATTTAGGCCCGTATGCACGTACATCCCCGCGGGGAGGGGAGGGGATCTGAGAGGGAAAGCGCCATATCTGCTGCTTTAGGTATCTTTCTTCCTTCTTCTCTATCGTGCTTATAAAGGTTCTCATACCCTTATACCTGCGCATAATGGATGCCAGGTTTCTGCTAGACAAGATTAAATATTCGCTATTTCTTGCGATCCCCTGGGGATCCCCGGGGGATTATCTCACATTTTCAAAGTCATTTATCTTCCTGAAAAGCAATGCAAACACTGCAAAATTGTACTGAAGATATACTACGATACTGCTGAGCATGTTTTCGACAGAAGAAATGGAATATGAAGATTTTGATTTTTTCGATAATCCCTGGCTCGCGAGCAGCGGTTCATCGAAGATTTTGATATCTTGAGATTTCACTCATTTCTACCATAAACATGTTTAGCAGTGCTGTAGTATATCCACATACAATTTTAAAGCATTTTCATCGAATTTTCAGGAAGATAAATGACTTTGAAAATGTGAGGTGATCCACAGGGGATTCCCAGGGAATCAGACGAAATAGCGAATATCTAATCTTGTATGGCAGTAACCTGGCATCCGTTATGCGCAAGTATCAGTGTACGAGAACCTTCAAAACCAAGAAGAGAAAGAAGAAGAAAAATACATAGACTAGCGAGATATGATGCTTCCCCTCTCGGACATCCCCGCGGGGAGGGGATGTGCGTTATACCATTGAAATGATCCCCGCTGGGGATCCCCTCCCCTCCCCGCGCGAACCCCCGTATGCACAAAGACAATATCGGACAAGGGATCCCCTGTGGGGAGGGGAAGTGAACCCCCTTATGCACAAGAGGGGATCAAGCGGGGAAGTCACCTTGCTTTCAAATTTTCTACGAAAAACTCTTTCTTTTTTCATATTTTGACTGCAACTCATCTTCAACTCCTCACTTTCAATAATTTAGGGTTGCGGAATGCGCGTATGCAGTGACTGCGCTCGGATCACCAAAAATGATTTTTTTTACTTCCATTATGTTCTTGCTTTCTTGAATGCTGCCCACTTTCGCTCATGCTGCCCCATTTCAGCGTAAAAATGTTGTACCATAGAAGTTGATGAGTCTCTGCAAGGGAATGGGTAGAAGACGTTATGCTGCCGAAAAGGGGGGGGGTGCCGCGCGAACGCTCAAAGCAGTATTTTAACACATAACAGAAGCTGCAAATCGTGCCAGCTCTCCATAAACGCTGTAGCTACAGCTGCATATCGTCTTTTATCCCAGGGGAATGATCCCCAGCGGTCATCCCCGCTATGCACAAGGGGAACGCTGAGGGGATCACTCCCCCGAGGATCTCTAGCCAGAAACACGCGATTCTGCTAATTTTCGTTTTATAAAAAGCAGTTTTACGTTAGATTAACAAGATAAAGAAAATTTATCATATAATGTGATAGTTACAATATGTTGTACCAGCCTTTATGGATAAAACAATCATGTCATGTAGAAAATGCGCAACTCTCGTGAATGGTCTCAAACTTCTACAGATATTCGAAACTGGCAGATGTATGTCCGGGTTTTTGTACAAGAAGCGAATATGGAAGAGAGAGTTACAACTGCAAGCTACAGGTCGCTGAGAGAGGAACCCGGCTCCCGTAGAAAATCTTTCATCAATTTCAACGAAATGCTTTGTAATAATTGACTGAAATTAGAATTCTCGCTTCTCTGGCTTGACCTACACCATCGAACCCCTACTCCGTTTCAGGGGATGTCGATCCCCTCCCCCGCGTTGTTGAGTTACACTCGTGCATACGGGGATCGAGTGGGGAGGGGAAAGGGATCCCCTCCCTCATTCGAACCCCGTATGCACTGGGGTTCGCTCGATCAATACCTCTGAAACCATTCACACCATCCCCGCTTAGGTGCAGGGGAGGGGATCGCTCCCCTCCCCTCTGTCATGGCGGGGGTCGGCGGAGAGGATCGTTCCCCTGGGGATCCAGCTCCCTTCCCCTCCCCAGAGGGGACGTACGTGCATACGGGCCTTAGAAAGCTGTACTTCAGCACTACCCTCAGTTAGATTGAAGGACGTATCATAAGGCCCTAGTCACATTTAACGCGCTTTTATTTGTGACGAGATTTGGCAATACTCTAATTTCCATAACTCATCGTGCGGTCATTCCAAATGCGCGGAGGATAGGGCATTTTATCAATCGATCGTTGCAAGCTGTACAGACTTTGCATTCGCAATCTGTTGGATTTAGAGACATCCGAAAAATTGCCAGATGGCGTAGCGACTGACATAGCATGTGGTATGACTAAGACCTAGGAGGATTTGATGCAGATGAGTATCATTGCTTATCTTATCAGTATCGAGACATATATAAAGCTTCTAAACATCTTCAGAAACCATTCCTGATTCCAGCCTGCCATCACCAGGCATTGCTATGTTGGTCAATGTTGATCGCCTTCGCTCGCTACAACAAAACAAGGCCTTCAAAAAATATGCCATCGTCACTGCTTCCACTTTCATAGTACTGGTACGTTGTACGTCCTCAAGGAAAAGTGGCCATTGTGGCTCGCAATTCAGGTGGCCCTCACATTCGTGCTTTTGATGTTTAAACCGAAAGAAAAGGACATGAGAAGGGACACAGAAGCTTCGGAGTCTGACACCATTGGCACCACCACACCAATGGCAACAAGCAGCTCAGATTCTGACACCATTGGCACCACCACACCAATGGCAACAAGCAGCTCAGATACTTCACAGTTTGACAAAACACCTTTGGCAGTTATAACAGTATGTTTCGCGCGTTAGTTTGCACAAGATGTCTCAACTTGGAAATTCAGATTATTCGCGAAGGCGCACATGCTCCAAAAGAATTTAAAAAAGAAGAAACCCGACTATCATATCCAAACCTCGAAAATGAACTGACAGATGTGAGCACAAAAATGCATTTAGGTTTGAAACTGATATTCGAGAAGCTCTTTTTGGAGAGGGGACGATAGAAATTCTTCGTATGAAAGAGCGGCTTTAGTTACGCGGTTTGGAACTTTTTTGGGTTGTCTTGCAGAATTTTGCAGACCCTTGAAAGGGGTATGACGGCAACCACATTCCGAATTTTTTTTATAGAACTAATTTAAACTTCTAAGTAGTTGAAGTCACCTGCAGGATTATCAGCTATGAGGCTACCAAAAATTCTGCGACGTTCTCAAAAGCGAAACCCCCGCATTCCTCCACACGATCTGCCGTGATGCTTAGGAATTTATTTGTACCTAGCACCTTGTAATGCGGACTACAAATCCAACAAAACTTGCTAAGGGTCTTCACTACCAATCAGCAAATTGCTTAGTGGCAAAAGGCGAACATATGTTCTTGGCCTAAGGCTTTGGCCATACTTCGCCCGTGTTGCCGTTGTTTCCAGTGTTTCCAGTGTTGAAAGTGTTGCCGGTGTTGAAAGTGTTGAAGTGTTGAAGGTGTTGCCGGTGTTGAAAGTGTTGAAAGTGTTGAAAGTGTTACCGCCTTTATTGCTGTTGATTTTTGAAATGATAGCCAGTACAGTTTCATTCTTGAACGTAGTCTCACTGAGTGGTGAGTGTACAGGATCTGAGGCGATCATACTTCAATAATAATACCATGCTATAAATTGCATCAAAAAAATTTTTGTGATGCAAATATAACCATATTTTGTTCTTTTTTCTCGAGCCATACACTAGCCATACACAGCCAGCTTCACTATCATGCCGAAATTTATTGAAAGTCGCACTATTTTATCATAATTATATTGTTTGATTTGTAGCACAATGAGCTCTAACGTACTGGCCAAAATGAGAAACACTCTCACACCGGCAACACCTTCAACACTTTCAACACCGGCAACACTTTCAACACTTTCAACACTTTTAACACTTTCAACACTTTCAACACTTTCAACACCGGCAACACTTTCAACACTGGAAACAGTGGAAACATCGGCAACACGGGCGAAGTATGGCCAAAGCCTAAGAATATCCTTTTCCTGAACAAAGTATGAGACTTCTACCTAGAGAGTGCGCCAAAATTATTCGCGCCAAAACATTCAAAGTAATGCCACAACAATGGCAATGAAGAATTTGGTCTGGATTTAATTCACAGAATGTCGTAAGCATACTCTACAAAAAGCACTACCAAGATCCCAAACCGGTCTTTACTTAAAGAAGTAAGAATTGCAAAAAGCAATGTTCGTGACAGAATAAACGCAAGCTGACGTAAATTATCAAATAATCAAAATTTTTGTTTTGAATGCTCCTAGAATTCCAAACCTCAGTGATCTCAAAATCAAAGATTAGATCTATTTTATGGCGAAATCTACACCTGAGAGAAACGATCACTAAAAAGACACATACTGGGCAAGTCTGTGGGCCTCTACCCGCGTGCAGCACGCGACAAAGTCAGAGAAAAGTTATGAATTCCTACAAAAAGCAAAACAGGCTATTTTACTTCTTTCAACTAGGATACAGTGTTGTAGAACCAAGAAAACAATATCAAGCTTGACCGCTGGCTGAGCCGGTCTTATGTTGGTATGGCGCTTAATGGCACACGCGCAATTAATTGTGGCGCACTTTGTATATCAATGTTTTGGTAAAAGTAAGCATACGGCTTCTGCTTGAAACTTAGAATTAAACTAACTGGCATGCATAGCTTCGCCTGCATTATGGTTATGACTGGCAACAAATGCAAACTTGATGAGCAACTCTGATGGTCAACTTATCTGCGTTTTGGCTTTCTTCTGCGTCACGCTTACAAAAAACAGACGATGCTGACCGTATTGTCGTGAATTACGCATCTTCCTCATCGTGGAATAAAAATGGTCCTAACGCTGTTGTTTGCACAAAAGTTGGAACTGGTTTGATAGTACCCGATGTTCATTATTCTCGAAAATCAATAAATTAATAGAAGGAGTGGGATTTTCGCCGCGGAAATTAGCCTACGGTACGGGCCGGTGTCAAAAACACATGTTCGCAAGTTTGGCGCTGATTGATTCACATACAAAAGTTTCTATAAAGAACCGCTAACTAACAAATTGTCATCGCTCACCTTTGAATATGTATAGGTATTAAACTCAAAGTTTGTAAGTATGTTCCAGTAAAGAATGTGTCGAATAGAAATCTCTGTGAATGGACGAAGAAGCGCCAAACTTTTGCTCACATATGTTTTCAACCCTTGCGCACACGATAGGCTACTTGCGGGATTCGCTTAGTCCTTCTACCGATTTATCAATTTTTAACACTTTGCAAACAAGCGGCCGCCAAACGTCTTTTCTTCAAAGTCATTTTTCTTCCTTCAATGCTAATGAAAACCTTCCAAAGTTGTACCATGCGGCTAAGCAACCAGTGATAAGCATGTCGCTGGTAAGAACAAATGAGTTTTTGAAATATCGATTCTTTCGATAAACCCCAACTTTCGACTTTTGGTTCATCGCAAATTTCATGACTTCGGAACATCACTTGTTCTTACCAGGAACATAATCAGCACTGTTGGGTTAGATAATCAGCACAACTTTGGAATGTTTTTATTGACTTTGAAAAAAAAAGCGTGACTTTAAAGAAAAGAAGGTCGGCAGCTAGTCATCAGGGATGAAACAAAGCTGGAAAATGTGGCTTGTACAGTTTCTTGCTCCCGTTCAAGATGTTCATAGTGAGGGGTGGTGGGAGCACTTACGGATAGGTAGACAGCGCGGAATCCTATCTGAAGCCTCAGGATACGAAGCTTTCTTCTAAAGCTCGATCTTCTCCCCAGCGGGGATGTTAATGCATGCGGCCCCAAGTCACCTGAGTTTCCTTGTTACTGAGTGGGAGTCTTCCTGCCATGCAGCATGTCATTCTTACCATCCTCATTCTGGCTGGTGCGCCGTGCGTTTAGGTATTGCTCAAAATCCATCCTGAGCTTAGAGGCAGTGTCCGGGCAAAAATTCGATTTATAGAAAACACTTATCCAAGTTATCCGCAGCGCTGATTCCAAAAATCTACATTAGAAAGCACGAAAACGGCAAGAACAGCGTTTCCCGAAGCTTTAAATTTGAAATTAGACGCCCATTGAGGCTGAGATGCGGAGTCTCTTTAGGACACTACGACTTTAACTGTGGCAGCATGCGTACCCTACCGCAAAGCAGGAATCCAAACAGGGGAGAACCCTCCCTTAGAAATAAGTTTCGCCACTTTCCGACTTTTCCTTGCTTTAGGTGGAACGTTACAGCCTCGCATTTGCGCGATGCCTTGTCTGGAGGGCCCACTACCTTATGACCCTAAAATCCCGGAACTTCCACCTTGTCCAGACACTGCATTTGGGTTCGAGTTGCGTACTTACTACCAGCAACAACAGCCTTCCAATTCAACTGATTGTGTTTGATGTGCAGTCGAAGTAAAGGGGAATGCAACAAAAGAAATTAAAAGTAATGTGACTTTTGTCAGAGTTTCCAGTGACAGCGCGTTAGCATATACAGTGCTGGACATAATTATAAAGGCACCCTAGAAATCAGTGTAATTTACGTTTTTCTTGATGGACTCGTTTGAAATTTTGCTTCTGATGCGTATGTAAGCCTGCCTTAACTCCTAAAAACGGCTTTCGATTCCGTTGATTTCGAACGGAGAAAAATGGAAAATTTTGAAAAAGCCCGTTTTTGAAAAAGCGTTTTGAAGCTTGACAAAATTATGAAGACACCTGGTCTTTTCAGACAATATCGCATTTCTCGACTCTCAAATTAATTTGTAGAGTTACATCCCAGGTTGTGAAACTTTTGCAACACCGACGAACTGTCATCCTACTCAAGGAAAGATGATGAACGCATTTTTGTTTTCAAAGGCATCAAAAGTTAAATTGCTTCAACAAACAGCTGGTTTGAGGAGTTTTAGGCTCGTGTTCATCTCAAATGACAGTCAATACTCCGAGCCTTTACGATAGATAAGGTAAAGAGCGCTTCCACAAACTCTGCGTAATCGTTGATACTGACGGACATACTCCAACCCTCCCCCCCCCCCCCATAGGATTGTCACGCTTTTAAGCCACAAAACTCACTTAATGTCCGTGAAGTGATGGACTCGATTTACTACATCGACTACATGGTGGCGCAGCTTTTACAACAACTTTCAGGATTTTTCTGGCGCTGCAGTTGCCGTTTAGATCTTCAATACTTTCCATGAAAAGTCTTCTGCGAGCAGTAGATTCAACATAACCACAAATCTCACTATTTTCCTCTCTGTTTCATGTCAATTTTTACGCGATAGCTGAGATTAGCTAAGATTTTGAAGTTTCAAGCGATCTCCTGTTCGATTTCATGTTTGAGATGAATACGATGTGCAGGGCGCTCCACTCAACTCTTAGAGGATGGCAAGTGCGGCTGAACCACAATGTTCGACGTCGAAATTTTTTCCTGATAGGCACACATTTATTGTTGTACAGCCTACGTAGTGGCTACATTGCAGTGTTTTCTGTAGCATAGCGTAAAATCGAGTTTTGTGGTGCCAAAGCGCGGCAAGCCTGTGGTGAGGTTGAAGATTGTCCGCCATCAGCGAACACGCAGAGTATATAAAAGCGCTTCTTACTTTATCTATGGAAAAGGCTCGGTGAATTTCAGAACTATCATTCGTAATGAACAGGAGCCCGAAAGCTTTTCAAACTAGCTGTTTTTTAAAGCAGTTTGACTTTTGATGCCTTTTAAACGAATCATCTTTCTTTGAGGAGGATGACAGGCCGTAGGTGTTGCGAAAGTTCCATAATTTGGGATGTAACTCTACAAAAAAATTTGGGTATTAAGGACTGCTTTATTGTTTGAAAAGTCCAGGCGTCTTTATAATTTTGTCCAGTCAAAACAGGCTTTTTCAAAGTTTTCCATTTTTCTCCGTTCGAAATCAACGGGGCCGAAAGACGTTTTGAGGAGTTACGGCAGGCTTACATGCGCATC